GATTGTGGAATTGGTGCATACAACACCACATAGAAATTATTGCATCGTACCTACCCAGCTGTCACAACACTACCATCGGTACACTCAGCAGACACTTCGCCAAAGAACATGAATGGGAATTGCACCCCACGATACTACAACAGCTCTTCTCCCAATGGGGCACCCCGTCAACAGACCTCTTTGCCACAACCCAGAATCGCAAATGTCACCTATTTTGCTCCAGAGCGGTATTCGGGACTGCATCCCTAGGAGACTCTTTCCTCATCTCATGGAACAACTCTCTCCTGTACGCCTTTCCACAGATCCCTCTGATACACAGGGTCCTGTGCAAGATCAGAGACGACAATGCCCAGGTCATACTCATTGCCCCGGCTTGGCCGAGACAGACATGGTATCCTTACCTGCTCCACATGTCCGCCCGTCTTCCATGGACTCTCCCCAACAGACCAGATCTGCTTTCTCAGGACAACGGACGAATTCTTCACCCTCAGCTACAGAAACTCCACCTGACAGTGTGGTTCCTTCATGGTTCCAGACCCATAAATTAGCCTGTTCTGAGCAAGTCCGATATGTCCTCCTGCATAGTAGAAAAGACTCCACTCGTAAAACTTACCTGCAGAAATGGAAGCATTTCTCCCTGTGGTGCTCAAATAAACACCTATCACCCCATATTGTGACCCTCCCTAACATCCTAGACTACCTCCTGAAACTAAAACAGGACGGACTCTCACTCAGCTCCATCAGAGTACACCTCATGGCCCTTACCACCTTCCACGATTCGTTAGACGGCTATTCATTCTCTGCCCACCCCACCATAAAACGCTTTCTCACAGGCCTACAAAATCTCTACCCCGAGATTTATCCATTTGCAGTTGCATGGAATCTCAATCTCATTCTTCGCGGTCTTATGAAACCTCCATTCGAGCCCTTAGCTACCTCATCTCTTCTTCATATGTCCATGAAGGTAGCTTTCTTGGTTGCTATAACATCAGCAAGGAGAGTAGGGGAAATAAGCGCCCTGATGGCCTACCCTCCCTACACAACCTTCTCTAAAGACAAAGTTACCCTGCGAACACACCCTAAATTTCTCCCTAAGGTGGTGTCCACCTTCCACCTTAACCAACCAATATACTTACCTACATTCTATCCCAAACCTCATGAGACTCCACATGAGGCATCTCTGCATACCCTTGACGTCAGATGAGCAATTGCCTTCTATTTAGACAGGACTAAACCATTTCGTAAGTCCTCGCGACTATTTGTCTCCACTACTGAGAGATCAAAGGGTACAGCCATTTCTAAACAACACCTTTCCAAGTGGATCTCTGACTGCATCAGATCCTGTTACCGCATTCAGAATGCTCAACCACCCGAAGGCATCAGAACTCATTCTACTCGAGCCATGTCAACATGCGTTGCCTTCCTCCATAATGTACCCATTCCTAATATCTGTAAGGTGGCCACGTGGTCATCCAAACACACATTTACCAAACACTATGCTATCACGCAGGATACCATGGTAGACACCATAGTAGGCCATACAGTACTGTCTACAGTACTCACTGCTGCAACTCCCAAGTCCCACCAGCCATAGTGGGTACTGCTTCACATTCACCTGGAGTGGAGCACCCACAGGGACAGCACTCGAAGAAGAAGAGAAAGTTACTCACCTTGCAGTAACTGAGGCTCTTCGAGATATGTGTCCCTGTGGGTGCTCCATTCCCTGCCCTCCTCCCTTCTACTTTGGAGTACTATTCTGACCTCTCCATGGTAGAGAAGGAACTCAGGGGGGCGCAGGATGCGCACCCTCAGGCAGACTCTAACGAGACCGCAAGACAGCAGCTGAGCCAGGCACTGCTACCAACGGCGCCGGGACACACCGTCACCTGGAGTGGAGCACCCACAGGGACACACATCTCGAAGAACCTCAGTAACTTTCTCTTCCTCAGTGAGGGAGGGTCTACACTAGAAAGTTAGGTTGACTTACGTACGTTGCTCAGGGGTGTGAAAAATTCACCCCGAGAAACAAAGTTAAGCTCACCTAAGCCCCGGCATAGACAGCACTATATTGACAGAAGAATTCTTTCACTGACCTAGCCAGTGCCTCTCGGAGAAGTGGATGTACTACAATGACAGAAGAACCTCTTCCGTCGCTGTACTTAGTGTCTACACTACTGTGCTGCAGCTGTGTCACTGTAGCGTTTCTAGTGTAGACATACCCTGAGTCTTCCGCAGGATGCACCTGCCTGAAGTCAATGGGGTTTATGCCAGCAGAACTGGGCCTGTGCTTACCTGTCTTAGGGCTTATACAGCCCTCACACTGGATGCCTGACAATCATCCGTGGATTTTATCCTTGCATGCACCCTGTGAAGTAAGGACAGATTGGTAACTGAGACACGGGGTGGTAATAATGGTTATGGATAGGATTTTGTCACAGTAAAATTATGCCTATCTTCAAACTCCTCATCCCTGTTGCGTGAGACTCCCCCCTTGCAGGTGTCCACGGCCAGTGGTGGGGTAGTGGTAGGGCCACCCCTAGAATTGCATGCAGCTCATAATAGAACCGGCATGTATGGGGCTCTGACCCAGAGCAACCGTTTGCATCCTTTGTTTTTTGGTAGGCTTGCCTCAGCTCCTTAACTTTCACGCAGCACTGCTGTGTTTCCATGTTGTAGCCTCTGTCCACCATGCCCTTGGAGATTTTGGCAAATATATTGGCATTTCGTCTTTTGGAATGGAGTTCTGCCTGCACGGATTCTTCTCCCCATACAGCGATCAGATCCAGTACCTCCCGTTCAGTCCATGCTGGAGCTCTTTTGCGATTCTGGGACTCCATGGTCACCTGTGCTGATGAGCTCTGCATGGTCACCTGTGCTGATCAGCTCACCACGCTGGCCAAACAGGAAATGAAATTCAAAAGTTCCCAGGGCTTTTCCTGTCTATCTGGCCAGTGCATCTGAGTTGAGAGTGCTGTCCAGAGCGGCCACAATGGAGCACTCTGGGATAGCTCCCGGAGGCCAATACCGTCGAATGGCGTCTGCACTACCCCAAATTCAACCCAGCGAGGTCGATTTTAGTGCTAAACCCCTTGCCGGTGAGGAGTACAGAAATCAATTTTAAGAGCCCTTTAAGTCAACAAAACAGGCTCGGTCGTGTGGACGGGTGCAGGGTTAAATCGACCTAACGCTGCTAAATTCGACCTAAACTCGTAGTGTAGACCAGGGCTTAGACTTGAACCCAGGAGTCCTGTAGAGGACCCATTTACACAGCAAAACAATTGTTGCTGAACTAGTCACAGGGAAAACAACCCCTTAGCCCCAGGTATCTGGCAGAGGTGATGTGATTAGTTGCCATGATTATTAACCCCATTATGTGCAGACACAAAGCACCTTCAGGGCTGACTCGGCTGCCAGCTGATCCCAGACTGTTAGAACCTGTAGGGTAGACAAGGTCTAACAACCTGATTTTCAGAAATAACTACAGATTTTGGGAGTTCCAGCTTGAGTGTAGGAGAGCAGGAGAGCAGAGTTGCAGCGGAAGCGGTGGAGGACGACGGTTAGCACTGCGCACATTTCCCGAGGAAGAACACACGTACCCGCGAGCCCATGACAGACAACATGGAGAAATTCACTATCGAGGCAATAGCAGCAGAGCAGAGTTGCAGCGGAAATGGTGTATGACAACGGTTAGCAGTCCTACTGCACCATCTGCTGACAGCAGCACCCAGGACACAACAGTGGCGGTGTCGGTGAGCTGAGCTGAGCAGGCTGCACGCTTGCCGTGGTATGGCGTCTGTGCGGAAAAAAGGCACGAAACGATTGTCTGCCGTTGCTTTCACGGAGGGAGGGGAGACTGACGACATGTACCCAAAACCACCCGCGACAATGTTTTTGCCCCATCAGGCATTGGGAGCTTAACCCAGTATTCCAATGGGCAGCGGAGAATGCGGGAACTGTGGGATAGCTACCCACAGTGCACCGCTCCGTAAGTCGATGCTAGCCATGGTAGTGAGGACGCACTCCGCCGACTTAATATGTTTAGTGGGGACATACGCAATCGACTGTATAAAATTGATTTCTAAAAATCAACTTCTATAAAATCGACCTAATTTTGTAGTGTAGACATACCCTAAGAGCTTGTCTACATGAGGAGTTATTCTGGAATAACTATTCCCAATTTAACTTCCTGTGTGGATGTTCTGATTCTGGAATAAGAGTGCTTTATTCCAAATTAGTTTAATCCACTTAAAATAGCTAAATCCACAAGTATACAGCGGAAGTATTAATGAAGGTGGCTTTCTGGCCCCACAAGTGGGTTACAGTAATTTGGAATAAAACGCTTTTATTCTGGAATATGAACATTCACACGGAGAATTGACCAGGTCTAGCTATTGGACTTTAAATTCATACCGTGCTTCAATCCAAATTAATTTCCCTGTGTAGACAAGCTGTATTATGAATTGACTGAAGATGTGAAAGGTAATAAATTCACATAAAGTAATACATTAAGCCCCTGTGTGGGCTACTCTCCTCCAGGAGCAAAGTGGCTGTAGTTCACTGTTGCTCAATCTTTCAATACTGTTTTTCGTTTATTTTTCCATAGGGGTCTCATGCACTGTCCATCACCATAGTGTCTGGGTGCCTACTGGGGCAAATGGTGGTATTCATACTGGAGCTGATCTGGAGTAAATCCAGGCCTTCAGTCCAGGTTTGCTGGTGAATGTTTTCTGAGCACAGACCACTAGGGAAAGGTCTCAGACACGCTGGCTTGGGCTCTGATTCTGGTTCCTTTGCTTTGGAAGTTTCTTTCTCTTTTCTGGGAAGAGAAAAGGAGTCTCTGGCCGGATCTCCCTCCCCCCCAGCCAGGTTTCTGTCCGCACTGCTGGGGTGAGCAGGGGGGAGGCTTCCTTCGCTTTTCCCCACCAGGGGGCTCTGGGTATTGCTCAGGGAGGGGAAGCTCCTAGGGCTCTGCTCTCTCTGCTCAGCAGACCGGGGGTTGAGCTTCCTGGGTCAGAAGCAGCCGCTGCTAGCTCCATTGTGAGCTGAGCGACCCGCATTAACCCCACTCTGCCGACCCCAGCCCCTGAGCCGGAGCCTGCAGGTGAGGAGAGAGACCCGGGGGAAAGGGCTGGGGCCGGGCAGGAAAGTGACTCTGCACCACCGGCCCCTCCTCGCCCCAGCTCTGCTCCCGGGCGGGGCGGGGGTCTGCGAGTCCTAGAGCTGCTGCCCTCCCTGACCCCCCCCCACCCCCCCGGCTCTGCCCCCCTGAGCGCCTGCAGGAGCCGAGCCAGCTCCGGGAGAGCGAACGCCCCGGGCCGGCCAGGGACCGAGTCTCCCAGCCCGAGGGGAGAGGGGGCGGGAGGGAGACAGGGGCAGAGACTAGCAGGGGCAGCAGGAGCAATCAGTGGGGAGGGAGGTCCCGGCTCCCAGCCCTGCCCAGCCCCATTCCCTGCAGCGCCCCGGGGCAGATGGACTTTCCTGAGGAGCAGGGAGAGGAAAAGCCAGTTCCTGCCTCTGCCTGGTCCCCGCGCTGCTGGGGGGATGCGCTGCCCTGGGGACAGTGTCAGGGGGGATCCCGCAGAGCGGCTCCTTTGGTTCTGCTCCTTTCTCGGGTTTGGTTCAGACAGTGGGTGGAAATGCGCTCACTCCTGGAGGGAGAGGCTGGGTCTGTGGTGTAATAAAGTGGGGCACAGAGTTAGGGGGAGTCAGTTTTTTTTTGTCCGGGTCCAAATTTCTTCATCAAGGTCCAGACTCCAGAGAGAATCATATAAAAAAATAGCAACAAACACAATAACAGTCAATACATAAAAAAGATTTTGGGGTCCCCTTCAAAAGCGTCTGCAGGCCGGGTCTGGCCAGCCATCCGCGTATTGACTGCCCCATGTCTAGGGCATCTGTCTGCAGGGAAGGAGCCAGGAGGGAATCGGGGCATGAAATGGTGCCAATGCCCATTTGAAACCTCCCTTCTCGCCCTGACAGGCTGCAGAATAACGTCCGGATTGGGAAATGGCTGCTGTGGAACCAGCTCAGGTAGGGGATTTTTCTGGAACGTATGGGGTCTCCTCCTGGAGGGAGAGGGACTGAAAACACAGGGGGGGTGTGAAGAAGATGGGGGTGAGCGGGCAGCAGGGGGTGACAGACCTGTGCTGGGACTTGCGTGATCTGGAGCCTGGTTTATAGGAACAGGCCCACTGGGAAGAAAACTATAGCATGGGTGCCGTGGTTATTCTCATCCATTCCCCTCCCCCTCCCCCCCCCGCCCCTTGTGAGCAAGAATAGGTGCTGACTTTTATTTTTCCCTGGGAGTGCTCCACCCTGGCTTCGCCCGCTCCCCTGAAGCCCTATCCCCACTCCGCCCACTGTGGGTCGGCACCTATGCTTCTGAGTCTTGCTGTGGAGACTACCACGACCCTTCTCCCCCCACACCCCACCTGGGTGGGTTGTGAGGGTTGAACCTCGGGATATAAAAGTGTGATGACTCTCCAGCACCCGCGCTAAGGCGACAGACAGCCCCATCAGCTCGGCTGCAGCGATGGACTTGGTGTGGAGCTGGTCCATTTTTTTCAACCCCAGCGTTTTCCCAGCAGGACCAGGCGCAATGGGAGATCGCCATGGCTGGGATGTGGGGCGAACCCCGTGCCTTGGGGCAAGGGCGTTGTGGGATCCCCGTCCAGCATCCCAAGAGGGAGGAGAGCGAGGCTGAGGAGCAGAGCCCTGTCTGGCCCTTGTCCCCACGGACGCCGTCCCAGTCCTGGCTGGGATGCTCGGAGGGGGAAGATTCTCCATTGAGGATGGCGCAGACACCTCCCCGGTCTCGAGACGGGGCAGACACTGCTGGCCTTGAGCGGGCGGTGCCGTCCCGTGACTGGCCTCATGGGGACGAGGTTCCTTCGTTCACCCGGGAGGCACCTGAGACCTGCGGCTCCCTGGGGACAGGCCCCACCAGGGGCTGTGCCGAGGGCAAGGCGGCCATTTCAGAGCAGGCCAGCGAGGAAGCCCATCGGTTGCAGTTCCGCTCAGGGGCTGCCCGGCCCGGAGAAGCTCCCCAGGAGATGCTAGCTCGGCTCAGCCGGGCTGCTTGGCTCTGGCTGCGGCCTGGGGAGCGCACCAAGGAGCAGATCGTGGACGTCGTCGTGCGGGATCAGTTCCTGGGGGCGCTGCGGGCGGACGTGCGGGCCTGGGTGACAGCGAGGGAGCCCCGCAGCAGCGAGGAGGCGGCTGCGCTGGCTGAAGCCTGCCTGGGGCAAGGGGAGTCGACCCAGCCTGCTCAGGTAGCTGATATGACGCGAGGTGGGGAAATGCTGAGGGAGCAGAGCCAGGCGTGGGGCTGAGAAGGGATGATGGGAGAGATGGATCTGATGGGAAATCAAAGGATAAAATATCGCCCCCCACACCCTCCCGATATGTTGCTGTGGGGCAGGGGTGCTGGAATAGGGGGAGCTGGGGGCCATGGCCCATCCACTTTTTGCCATGGGCCCCACCCCTGCCCTTCCTCTTCCCCCCGAGGCCCTGCTCCCCAGCCAGGCTGGCAGCTGGAGCCCAGTGCAGGTGGAGGGTCTGCGGCTCCTCACAACTGCCCGCACGGCTCTTACCATGGCCAGGCTGCGGCTCCGAGGCCCCGGCCGGAACCGGGTTGGGGTAAGAGCCATGTGTGCAGCTGTGGGGAACTGTGGGCCCTCCACCTGCCCTGGGCGGGGACACAGGCCAGGGGCTGCTCTTGAGCTCCCCCACCCCGGGCAGGTGGAGGGTCCGCAGCTCCCCAGCTGGGCTCCAGCTGCTGGCCTGGCTGGGGGACGGGGCCTTAGGGGAAGAGGTGGGGCCATGGAGGGCCCTGCCTCTCCCGCCCCCCTCTCCCAACCATCCCTGCTGTGAGGGCCTCAGCCTGAACGAGGTCCCACAGATGAGAGGAAGGGTCGTTGTATGGAAACATCCCATCTGAGACCTTGGCCGAGCCAGCAAAATCCTAGCCCAGCAAGTCTCGCTGTGCGCCCTGCGTGAGGGGTCGTGGGCAAGTGCATACACGTCAGCAGCAGTGGTATAGTTATTATTTACTTTGTGAATTGCTGAAGTCCTAGGGACCCGCGCCCTATTGCGCTGGATAGGGTGAAAACCTAGAACCAAGAGACAGCACCTACCCCAAAATACTCAAAGTCTTAAGATGAGGCAACAGCTGCATAGAACAGCGTAATGGGGAGATGGTGGCGGCTAGCATAATAAGCAGCGTCGTGGCTCGGTGGAGTTTCACAGGCAGCGCCTCCCCTGAGTCAGGCAGTATGGAGCACAGAGTGCAGGGGCTTGCTGGGAAAACGTTGGCATGACCAGCACGCCAAAGATAGACTCCTGTATTTTAAGGCCAGAAGGAACCATTAGGATCATCCTCTAGTCTTATCCCCTGCGTAACCCAAACTAGAGAATCCCACCCCAGGAGGCCTTCATAGAACCCAGCAACTCGTGGTTCAACTAGAGCCCATCTTTTACAAAGAGACATCGGCTCTGAAACATAGGAGCGGCCACTCTGGGTCAGACCAAAGGTCCATCTAGTCCAGTATCCTGTCTTCTGACAGTAGCCAATGCCAGGTTTAAAGGTTTCAAGTGATGGTTTATTGCCCTCACACTTCAATTTCTCCCTTATTTCCAGTTTTGTTGCGGTGTGAACAAATAACCTGGGGAAAGCTGGTGGAAGATTTTGTGTCAGGGTGGTTGGTTTTTTTCCAGTGTGAAATGCCTTTTTTTGACAGACAGACAAACATTTGTGAACAGTTTTTTCATTTTGGTCCTTTTTTTGTTTGTTTAAGAAAATTTTGGTTTAGTTTCACTGAGAAGCCTCCTCCCCCCACACACACCTTGTTATTACCTTGATCTTTTTTCCAGCGGGGGAAGGAACTTTTAAAACTGACAGAAAAGTGGGGATTTTCCCACAGAAAGGAAACAGAATTTTTTTATTTGTTTTTTTCAAAAAAAAACCCCAAGCCCCCAAAAAAGGTTAAAAAGGAAAATGTCAGACAAAATAAAACATTTCCATTTCTTTTGATTTTTTTCCCCACCAAATAGACTTACCCTCTTCAAACCTTCTGTATAATACTAACGGAACCAGTTGTCTTTAAAAAGAAACATGCTGGGTTTTCTAAATCTGTTCCCCTTTGGGCAAGTTCAGTTCTTCAGATCTAGATCTGAACTCTGCCGCTCGGGTCTCAAGTTACTGTAAAGCAGTGGTTCTCAACCAGAGTACGCGTACCCCTGAGGATACACAGAGGTCTTCCAGGGGGTACATCAGCTCATCTAGATATTTGCCTAGTTTTACATCAGGCTACATAGCACTAGCAAAGTCAGTACAAACTAAAATTTGATATTGACAATGACTTGTGTATAGAGCAGTATAAACTATACACTGAAATGTAAATACAATATTTATATTCCAATCAATTTATTTTATAATTAGATGGTAAAAATGAGAATGTCAGCAATTTATCTGTAATAGTGGCTGTGACACTTTTGTATTTTTATGTCTGATTTTTTAAGTAAGGTGAAACTTGGGGATACGCAGGACAAATCAGACTCCTGAAAGGGGCACAGTAGTCTGGAAAGGTTGAGAGTCATTGCTGTAAAGCAAAGAACGCAGCTGTTCATTCTTATATTTCAGGCCACCTCTAGTCCAGAGCTTGGGGAAGGAAGGGTTGGGGGCAGTGAGATTCTCAAAAATAAACCAGCAAAACATGCATAAAACAGCACGACAGGGTGACATGGTCCCCTGAGGGAATGGAAGGAACCAAAGAGAGAAATTAACCTTGTGGACTGAGCCAGATGCTGAAGGTTCAGGTTTCATTTGGCTGGGTAAGAATAAAGAGCAGGAGGGCTCCATCTCGCACCTATTGGAGCTTGCATTGGAGGAATTCCAGCTAAGGAGCTTCCATAGATTTGCTGGGTCAGTCCCTGTGAACCCAGTGAGAACCATCTCAGTTTCACATACTAATGAGTGACCCTCCTCCTGGGACACTGAAGGTGCATTAGGTAACAGAGGCATAGACGCCAACTCTGTGGGTGCTCCAGGGCTTAAGCACCCATGGAAAAAAAATAGGGCGTGCTCAGCACCCACCAGCTACAGCTGTTGGGCGGGCCGGAGTTGGCTGCCGATCAGCTGTTTAGCGGGGCCCCCGGGCTGGCCGGGCTCAGGGGGGGGAGGAGAGGAGCCAGCAGCGGGCGGGCAGGGGGCCTTGGGGAAGGGGACTGAGAGGAGCGAGCAAAGGGCAGGTGGGGGAGTTGTGGGAGGGGGTGGGAAGAGGCAGAGTGAGGGCAGAGCCTTGTGGGGATGGGGCCTCGGGCGGAGCACTCACCGGGAAAAATAAAAGTCAGCGCCTATGAGCAGAGGGAATGGCCAGAGGCCTGAATGATGCATGGGGAGATGTTAGACATAGGAGTGAGTGACCATTGAGCAGTACATGGGAGCAGTAGGGACAAGATTCTAACTTGGGGATTATGGGTATTATAAGCCTTACTGAAAGTACACAGGAAACTAGAACAGTCTGGGGCAGGTGGGATTGTGGCTGGGGAACAGGTCCTGAGTGGGGACTGTGGTTGTTTCAGGGGGCGGTGACCTTCGAGGAGGTGGCTGTGTATTTCACGGAGGAGGAGTGGGCTGTGCTGGACCCCAGTCAGAGAGCCCTCTACAGGGACGTCATGCAGGAGAATTACGAGAGTGTGACCTCGCTGGGTAAGAGATTCCTTGTTCCCTTGGGTATTAGAAGCTTTCTCTCCACAAATATCACGTTCAGTGCTTAACCCCTCAGAGTAACACTTCACTATTAATTTCTCTCGCTCTTCGACTTTCCTCCCGCTCTTTTCGGGTGGAAAAGGACAGGCAGGAGAAAGTAGAACTCTGGCAGAAGGTGGCAATTCCACACAATTTCTAAACTAAAGATTTATTTTTTTTAATTTCTGTTCTTCTCAAAAAAGAATTACCATTTCAAAATATTTTCTAAAAATGGAATTGAAAGCTAAACTGTTTTGCAAATGAAATAATTTTCAACCAAATCTCATTTTCTGAAGAGAAGTCTTTTGTGTTGAAAGTTTCATTCCCTGCTACAGCCCGGAATCTGGCCTAAGTGGTTTGATATTAGTGCTGTGCCTGGGTCACCTGGCGTGTGCAGATCCCAGCATCTTCTCCAGGGGGCAAAGCATGTCCGACTCTTCCGAAGGGTCTCCCATGTCCATCTGCCAATGCCACGCCCCACAGCGTAGGGGAGGGGCCGGGTTATGTCATGGAACTTTCTTTGTAACAAACATTCCACGAACCATTCATTCACCCCCCATCCCACCATGGTCTTTCCCCCTTAGAAGGATTTTTCATTCCCAAACCCGACATGATCTCCTGGCTGGAATGAGGGGAAGAGCCGTGGGTCTCGGATCCCCAGGGCTCCGAGGAAAGGGGGAGTCCATCTAGCCCTTTATCCCTCTGTGACCAGTATCAGGTGCTTCATAAGAGGGGAAGAAACCCCCTATTGGACAATTATGGAACAACTTGTTTATAGTTTCTTCCTAGTCCCCTTTCTCTGGCCTGTTAGTGGTTGGTTTATACCCTGAATGAGGATTTAGTTCCCTTCCTCGGGGCCTTCTCACTCTGCATTCCTCTCTCCTCCCAAACCTTCCCTGCACCGTCTCT